CTGACCAAGCACACACTTGGTACATGGGATTTGGCCAGGACTTCACAGCGTCCTGTGTGGCCCCTTGTTTTAAAACAGGTTGGATTTGCATGATGTTGCTTTTGCTTTCCCTGTCATGAGTTGTCTCAACATGTATGGTTGAGGTTCTGTTGGCATGCCGCTGGAAGTGGTGGCCTGGAAGGAACATGTCTGATCGTTTGGACGCTGCCTACGCTAGCTTCAACCTCTTTCGCCGTTCCCACCGTTTGGCAACCTCGTTCCATGAGTTTAGCTTGAAGACCTTTAAGTGCAAATCGTTCCTTGGCAGTTTCTTGTGCTGTGTGTGCGTGTGAGGATGGCCCTATATTTTTGAACTAAGCGAATTGTGCAAGTGAAGAATTAGGCTTGGCTCATGGCCAAAGCTGAAGGGCAAGGGATTCGATGTGGCAGTTGTTTCAAAATGGCTTTGGCACGTGATTCAAAGCCCTCCTGTGAATCCTTCCCATGCACCTTGGCAGGGCACATGTAGACTTAGAGTATAGCCAGCTGTGATGTACAGTACTCAATCAACCGTTTGCATAGCATGTCCATTTTTTTGCTCAGACAGCGCCTGATGATGCTGTGAGCCTCCTTCACTTTACCCTGGAGTCTGTGGGCAAGTACTTCACTGGCATTTCAGGCCAAAGGTGGATCGAGAGGGACAAAGCGATTGAATGCGTGCAGTCATGCCAAAATATGTTGGTTTCATGTCTGCAAAAAGACTTGCACAAGATTGCAAGCTTTGGATTTTTTCGTTTGTAGGTCAAATGAAACATCTCTTTGGTAAGGAAGGGTACACAGCACTTGGAGCCTGGGCTGGCCAACAAGGGGCAAGTGGATGGCCTTTGTTCAAAACCCGGCCCAAGCAGCACATGCAAATGGAGATCCAGCCTCGCCCTTATATGTGTATATACATACACAATGAATATACTTTAATATACTGTATACGTGCATGTAGTCTGTGGTTTGCTCATTGTTTAGGCTTTACATCCGCTGACAGGATGTGGATGCAGGACCAATTGAACGCTGGTGCGCAATCCATACTCTCGCCAAATTGTTGCCTGGTGGATCTCTCTGTGTGTGTATGTCTCAACTTTGTGGAGTTGAGATAGTTTAGATTAGTTTAGTGTGCATCTAAGTCTTTGCAACATGGTTGGACGAGGACTTCATTGGACGCGAGCCTCGGTTAACCATTGCTTGTAGCGTGACTGCACCTTGTATTGGACTTGAAGTTTGTTTGAGGTTGCGCGTGTGAGCCGGCGCACCCATAGCCTGACCATTTGTGTGGCAACCCTTAAAAGGTGCCTGGTGCACTACAAACGACGCTGGAGGAAGTGGATCAGGAACTAGAAAAAATGAAGTCCTGTGCTCGCTGCGGTTGCTTTACCTGAACAGTGAATGTCCACCTCCTTAAGAGGCCTGTCAGTATGGATGTGTACCCCTTAAGAAAAGAATCCGAGCACTTTATACTTTCCGGATTCCATTCGAGCACATTCTCGTGAACCGTGCGGAAACCAAGGATTCGATCGTAAAACATGAAAACGCGCATAAAACAAAGCGAGCGCAATTTTAGGTAGCAATGGGGACTCCAGGTATGAATCAACTGGAATCATGCATGTCAGAGCCGTGTGGGGTCAGAATACGTGGACGACAAATCCATCCAATCTGTGTGGCTGTTTGCGGTTGATGTTTGGAAGCCTTACCCGTTTGGGCTCCAGTCATACCTTCGTTTCGGTTCGGTGGGATTGGGGTGGGTGCCAGGAGGGTCCCGTCATACCTTCCTGGCAGAAAGAACATCTCCCATCCATCGGCTCCTGCGTCCGAAACGCGACGCTTCGGCTATGTGTAAATATCGCCGGCAGCAAGAGGTCGTGGAAACTACCCGACACTCAAGTCCAAACCTACCTTTTGCAACCAATCATGGATTGACAGTAGACTTGAGAGAGGAGGGGGTGAGCGAAAGGTAGCAGGCAATCACAAGCAACCCTGGTAAAAGTCCATGACGGTGTGAACCGGCGCAACGGGGCCCCGGTCTCACTTAGCCGAGTAAAAACAGCGCGTTGCATGCGATCATCTTGGATTTGCTGTCCGAGAACCAGGCAAAAAAACACAAACATCTTCCCCAGAAGAGGATGCACCAATGTGGAACATACAATATATCCTTATTTATAGTATCCTGAATGCGCACAAACTGATCACACGCAACCTCTTACGGTCCCTAAAACCCTCATGGAAGTGGAAAACGAAAACCATCAGTTGGGTATTCGGAACATCGTCATCCTTTCGGAAACCATGCCATGATCTTCCTCTCGTCATCGGCGCAGGACCGTAGCACGGTGTCGATGCCGAGACACCAGCTTCAGCTGCGTGCGGTGCACATCGCTGTCACTGACGTTGCCCCCCATGACACGACCTAGTTCTAAGAGGGACGAATCGATTCTGAGGTCGGAGGGGGGTGTTCTTTTTGCATAGCAGCGGGGGATGTGTATGCATGTAGGTGTTTCTTCATGTGTTTTCGCAAGCAGGGACGAGTGACGCATGTGAACACTGCGTGGCCAAAGCGCAAATCAACTTAATATATATTTACACAATATGAGTGGACCCCAGCCACGTGGAGGACAACACCCCTGGTCCTGGTCCACTTATGGGGCCATCCACAAGTGCTTGCCCTACCCCTCAAAAATGATCACTTGCTTTCAGACTGATGGTTTATGTCATTATTCTAAAGACCCCGACGAATCCTCATCCACATATGCCCAAGGTCCCTCTTCAGGGTTGCCCAACTCGCCCAATCCGTCCGCTGCATCGGGCCATCGGGCCTCAAACCGCCTGGGCCTTCGGAGCCCAATATATCAAACCCAGTCCCACCAGTCTTCCGTGTATCAGCAAAACTTACATTTGCTTCAGGAACTGAGACATCTTCCCGCCATCAATGTGAATGAACAGTTCGCTGCCCCGCCCCCAGCTGCCAAATGCTTTGCTTGTTCCCAAACGCCCAAACGCGATGCCCGGAGTCGATGCCGCGATCTTCGCTCTCGCTCTCGCTACCTCTCGCTCGGTGTCCCCCTGGGGGGCCGAGCGCCAGAAGCAAAGCGCGAACATCGCCCGTAAGCGCTTGTTCCAGAGGCCATACTCTGGGTGCCTTGGACATCTGGTCGTTTTTGCGGAGGTGAATAAACCCTATAGGCCTCCAACTACCTCCGTTTCGGTTCGGTGGATGGGGTGGGTGCCAGGGGGGTCTAACCACCTTCTGAGGATATGGTTGGAGGGGGGGAATATGCAAGAAAACGCCTGAATCTAAATAGATGTCTATAGATTGTCTAGATCAAGATTGACCCGAAGTTATGATAGTCCACTTGGCGAAGAATTTCCATCCAAATTGCAATTTGACAGGTTTTTTTTCCCTGAGCTGTAGTAGTGGGGAGGAAGGATACGCTAATAATTGTATTAATGTTGGATCCTGAGCCTGATTAGTAAAAGGATTCTCTATGCCCCTATGTTCGTTTTAATGGTCCCCTATCATGCTAAATGTTTGGGGATTCCTTTTTTTCCATTAAAAAAATGTTAAACATTGTTCTGAGCCATGTGCATATTACTAAGCCAATGGTTGGCTTGCTAAACATATTGATACTTATAGGTTTCCTAATTCTCCTTCAAAACTTACAGCCATCAACTTCATCACTCATTTATGTAAAGATTGCTCCTAAACAAATGTTCAAGGTAGTAGACCAGAAAGGCCCCTGATCCTCAATAAGACTAATAAATTGCTTTAAGGTTCTTCAGATGTGCAAAGGTGTTTCCTCAGTTCACAAATACACATATATAAATCTAAATATTAAGGCTGGCTTGCTAAGAGTATTATTGGTCATTAACGGTTTCCCTTGTGCTTCTTCAAAACTGGCAGCTTCCCAAAGCCATCAACTCCTTAATCAATTCTTGATGTAAAGATTGCTCCTGAAATAATCAGGGTAGTAGACCAGGAAGGCCCCTTAATCCTGCATAACAGATTTGCTTATATAAAGGTTGCTCAATCGTGCAAAGTTCTTCCTCAGTACAAATACACAAAAATAGATCTTAATACTACTAAGCCAATGGATTATTACACATTATAGGTTAACCTAGTTAACCTTAAACACTGCTGAGAATATCTACAAAGAACCTGAGAAAGGAACATGATTACTTGCAATCTATTAAATGAAAAGAGCAGATAATGCATACTAATTACAATCAATTGCAACAAGAAATCTTCCCAGGCATCCAGATTGGTTTGGTAGTTTATTGTAGGGGACCTCCCAATTGTTTGGAGGAGGGGGAATCCGTTTTACTCAGGATCCTACATGTAGGACAGACAACTCCTCTGTTTTGCGTGCTCGGTGGAGCACTCCAGGACTCCCTTGTGGCATCAAACACTGGCTTGTGTATCCATACTATATACCTGTGGTGATTTATGTATTATACATCTATACATCTTGTGTATCTATCTATTATACGTATTGTATCTATGTATTATCTATAATATATCTATACTATGTATGTCTATATACTATATACCAGCAGCAGCCGCGACCATGCAAAAGAAAGGTTATATGTTGCGACCTACTTTTTCTAGGTCATGGAAATGGAAGGTCTGAAAACCCGGTTTTTGTATTCCCTGTTCCAAACAAAGAATATCATCATGGGAGCTTGTATAGGATTTGATGACTTAAAGCCCCTCTCACCCCGTCCTCCCATCCTTTCCCTTCGTTTCACGGACGTTTTCTCGCGTGGCCACCGGGCTCGATCGCGGCCCCGTGCCGCAAGCATCCTGCCAAAGCCACGGCCTGAGACCTGCTGGGTTCAGTAGTGGTGTAGGAAACAACCATACTTCCACACAAAGACATAGAGTTCATATCTCAACACCCGCATTCATACATACCATGCGTGCAGGAAGGTGCATAGAATAGAACAACATGTTGGGTATAGCTCAAACATCATCCAAAGGCTCAAGTGCCCAGCTTTAAGTCTCCAAGGTCTAACGTGGAGCAAATTGAATTTCTAATTGCAAGGAAACTTCGTTGAAGGACTCGCAGACTGGCGGTCTTGGCTGAAACTCTGCGAGACAGCCGCGATGGCTTGCCAACAAAGTCTTCTGACATCTGGTTGGCGTAAACTAAAATGTTTATACACCATGGCCCTTGGCGCGAGGCATGCAACATGGACAAAAATTGGTGATGTAAATAATGCCCCTTGGGCATCAGAGGGAAGCGCTTCTTTCGAAGCCTGAAGCGCATCACTGCCAACTGGCGATACCGTTGCAGAAACACAAGGCCTTTTGTGGCCAAATATTCGGCCCTGGGCGCTTTGACAAAGAGCCCTTCCTTGTAAAGCCCGCCAACGCACTCATTGATGGCCATAGTCGCTTCAGCCTGGGACGGCCAAGTGCAAACATGTATGTTCCAACGGTGAGGCCGAACCAACCACCTGAACCAACCTTTGGCTTTTGAACCAACAGAAAAAGAAACGGCACAAGCCTGTTTACAAAGCAAAGCAGCACACAAGATGTATAGTGGATCCCTGGTTTTGCCCAAAACTTCTCGAGAGCAATAATCTTCAAACCATTGGAGCAATAACCTGGTATGGTCTCCTTTGTTCCATGCCGCGTCCGGAACATCCTGGAAGCCACCCTCAACTCCAAGCAAGGATGCTGACAGTGTTTTGTGATAAGGGCTTTGGCGGTTCCGCTGGCAGTACGCCCGAAAATCTCGTGTCAAGTCTTCAAACGCACCAGCAATGGAATTGTTGATGAGCTCCATACACACGCAAATAGCGCTGGCAATGAAATTCTTTCCCAGACCCAAATGTAAATTATGAAACAGGTCGAACTGGAAAAACATGTCCAACCCTCCTTGGGCCCCATCTTTCAAAAATGGGATTGCTGCAAAGGCTGATGGCACCTCGTAGGCCGGCTCAACCCCCATAGTCTCCAGCCAAGCAGGCTGTTCCGTACCGTAGTCTTCGTATGGTATTTCAACTGCAATACCCTGACTGTCGGTCTCTTTGCCTGCCAAACACAAATGGCAGATCCCTGGACATGCCTTCTTTGAGGAACGTTTCAGAGGTCGTCGAGCGAAGCTCCTGTCAAAGCGCCCAGCCTTCACCAGGTAAGGGCAGTCACCCTTACATCCAATCACACATATGAAAAATTTCTTCCCATTCACCGTCACACCGGTAGTGAACAACTGTCGGAAGTCAGCTGCCAAAGCAGCCAAGACCTGGTGCAAGCTCTCCGGCTTGTCATTGTACAATGAGATCGGGAGGACGGCCGAAAGAAAGTGAGTCAGATGTGTGTCCCCAATCATATTCATATTCAAAGGGGAATCCGTATCCACAACTGAATCATCCTGTTTGGAGCGAGATGAACCTTTTCCCAGGACTGGTGTCGAGGAGAGGATCATAACTTGTTTTTTTCTTGCCACGGCCTTCGTCACCATGTACCAAAATTGGTATTGTCATCTCTGGCTGCCCTGCAGCACCCTCCTGGCTATGAAACATGATGTGGTCAGGATTGACAATTTGGTACCGGGACCAAAAAGCTCGAAGGAGACCCTGCATGGACTTGATGTTGTCCACACCGACCAGTCTGCCCAACTCGTCCTCCTCCACGAGATGCCGCAACCAGGAGCTGAATTTCACAAGCGGAAATCCCTCCATGCTGTCTATGTTGATTTTGGAAATCTTCACAGACAAACTTTGACCATAGTCTTGAAACACTTTGTGAGCACCCTGCTCACTTCTTTTCAGATCCACCCTGGCCAGTGATGTCAATCCTTTGGATGCAACCCTGGTCACTTGCGCCTGCCGGATGGCGTCCCGGCAAGAGACCTCAGAAAGCAATTGGTTTGCAAAAATGTTGATCCCGATAAAAGCTGGGAACAACATGAAGTGCATGCAGAGGAGTAGGTCACACATTGTGTGGTTAAACAGCCAGGACCATATACAGAAAAAGTTCAACGCGAAGAGCTGTATTCAAGAACTCAAGATTGCATATATGAAAGGATCTTCTCTCTATAGGCTCTATACTATAGCAAGGCCATGAGTATATGCATTGCAAGTCTGTTTTTGCAGTGTGGACAAAAGCTGTATTGCATGATGCGTGCAAGCGCGTATATTTTCCACACCAATGCACGTAGGGAGACCAGGGCATATTATATGGCTGGAAAATACTTTACATGCATGCAAGTGTTCATCCAATTGGTTTCATGCAATCTGCACGAGCTCCCACAATGTACATAAAATGAAATGGTTCCCGCAGAGCTGTCGACGGGCCTTCACCCCCGAAACGCTCATTTCGGCAACCGGGCTGGGACAAGTGAAAAGCAATCAAAGCAGCTTCTAGCATTTGAATTGCCCCCGCATTCTGGGAAACATGTAATAAAGTCATGTGGGTATAGTTCGCTTCTTTATAGAACTGGAACCTTACAGCAGGGTTCGATGTAATGCCCAATTTGAAAACACACAAGCTTTTGTTCATTTGTTTTCTGAATTGGTCCACTTGGGACAGGCACCTTTGAAGAATCGTACCTGCAGTGGCTCTAGCACGCTTGTGGGAAGACAAGTACGAAACCAGTATCCCATGGTCATGGCACGATGTTTCTATTGCTTCCAACTCGGTGATGGGACTGGGCGATGATGAAGATGGTTCTGGTTGTTCATGTGTAGTTCGCCCTGCAGTAGTCAAGTCCAGCAACCTTCCTTCCACGACCTGAGTTGGCAAAACTATAAAGCCATATGACTTACTGTAAGCATTTTGCATATAATTGTAATTAGGTTTAATTCTCACCTCGTAAACATGTTGGTCGCAAAACATGTTGAAAGGATTGATTCGTTTTTGGCTTAGGAACTGTGTATGAGCAGCCTTGCAGTTTCCGGTGAGGCCACTCTTGATGCACATCCGTCCTAAAATTGAAACATCGCACGCGCAAGTCATTTAGAAACTGTTCGGTCGACCTTTATGGTACAAAAGCACCACGCTTATACAAGATGCACAATCACGCTTTTGATATGTCTTGGGTTTGCTGGCAGTCAAGATTCCTACTTGCCTTGTTGGCAGCCAAGCTTTCTTTGCAGAAAGGTGGACACCGTTTCTTCCCTGTAATGGTACACTCATAGGTCAGCAGGTCTCTAAGCTCTTCCTCATAGGCGCACACAACAGGGATATGTTGTTCCATTGCGTCCAGTCGATGGTTCCGGTCACATACTATACAAAAGCCACAATTTGACAGTAAGACTGCGGCAGGCACATAAGTGCTGGATATGTTAAGGTACAACAGTAAAGCGAACACTCTTATGCATGTATGCTATTCAAGAGACACCTCTTTAAGAGAGACCCACTGGGAGCCAAGCACCAGTTCCAACCATTCTCGCCAACCCATGAAGCTCAGGTTCTTGGCCTGGCATGGCTTTCGGTTGAGTTGCAATCTTGAGGCTGGGGCCAGGGGGCCGGGCTCAGGTGCTTTCATATACGAATCACCAATCCAAGTGATCAAAACGCAGACGTTGCTGCTATAGCTACCTTTGTCAAAGGCTTCCATGCATCAACCCAGTTTCTGTGCATCGCGCGGTGAACATGTTCATTTTCCATGGATCCCTGATGCTCTCTATGGATTGTAAACATGGGCCTGTAGCCTGCAAATGAAGCTACAAGTTCGCAGTGACACCAACCTGCCATTGACAAGTTGGTAAACTCATCCCGGCATGTGTTCAACACATGGCATGGAAACCCAGCAAAATTCGAACCCTTGTTGTCCAAAGGTTTATCCCTCGGGCTCAGCCGCTTCTTTCCATTGCTTGATCTTCTTCATCACCGATTTGAGAAGAGCCCTTGGGTATACAAGCAGGGAACGACTCTAGATCAAGTTGACCTTCAGCCAAAGCAACTAACTTGGTTGTTTGTTCTGAGCAGGATGCAAATGGATGGACATACCAGACTTCTGACAACAAACATGCGCGACTAAAACCCTGATCGTTGTGCAGGTTGGCGGCTTGCCCTGAGCCTCCACTGATGCCAGCGCAGAAGCCCTGAGACCACCGGATTGGGTGGGCACATGCCATGTCTATACGCTCGATTGATTCCATGACCAGTGCAGATCCCCATGGCCAGGCCGACAAATAGGCACACACACATAAAATGCATACGAGAGTCTTCCCCATGGCTTCTTGCATGGCTTTCTTGATCTCCCCGGTGTTCCTCATTGCCGGTGTATACAGGTTGGCATCTTGATTAATACACATGTTGGTTGGCAGGATTACGATAAAATACACTCCAAAGCAAAACACTGCAGGCTTGTATTGGCAATCTTCACAAACACATTCAATAAGAGTTTATAAATTTAAAACCTTGTTCAACTCCATGGCAGTGTGTTGTAAAAGCGGTAGGCTTCGCTGCAGTATTGAAACGATACAATCCAAGGGTCTCAGGGGTTCGAGACACATCACCCAAGCGAGTGCGGACATCCTCGAAGGTATCATACGAAGCCTGGGCCGCTTGCAGCTTCTTCTCCAATGAGGACACCAACCTGGGCAGCATGACGGACGGAAAATGATCTATATATAAAACAGGTTGCACACATGCCCTTGAAAAAGGAAGTTGAACATGGCGAATTCGAGCGATAAGTAAACCAATGTCAAGGTTTGAGTTTCAGACTTGCTGGATCGATCTTTGTCACCCTCACCAATGTCCTCATTGCAGAGACCCTCCAATTTGGAAATCAGATCGGTGATCTTCGACATCTTGACGAGCATACCGGCAGAGAATTTGTTCTCCACTTCCAGTTCCTAAGCTCCAAAATGACCCCCACCATATATGTATAGAACACTTCACTCACAAAGGCCCAATAGTTGTCAAACAACTAGTTAACTCCATGCGTTTTGGAAATCGGGCCGAATCTCACCATCTTCAGGCGCTTGGGGAGGATGAACCTCCTCGGATTCTTTGGCAGGCGCTGCTGGGGTATGCCAGTCTCCAGATAGGGTCACTGCTTCACTCCCCTGCAGAACCAGAGTCAGTTTTGGTCGAAACATTGATCGATTTAAATGCAAAAGATCTTTTGTCGATATTATTTCACTTGTCTTTTGCAGAAAACACACTTAATAAAAAGGCTGCCTCCGCAGTTGACCTTTGTGTCTCAATCTCGGTGTAGCTCTTCTTGGTCGTTTCCGTCTCTGAATATTCGACAAAGTACTTGAACACCTTGCTGCTGTACTTGTCATTCCTTGTTGGATCATGGTGACATGATGTCAGAGGGTTGCTTCTATAGGTGTGATCGGCATGCCACATAACAACTTCAACGTCGCTGAAGATGTTTGCGTGCTTTCAAACAAATTGCATGGTTCCCCAATGTTATAGGATGATGTTTGTCCAACTCGAGTTGGTTCTGTTAGCGCCATTTTCGCCGGGACTCTTCACCAAGCCATGTTTCTTGCAGTAGGCCACCACCTCCTTGATGTAGCTCCTCGGAGCTGGTAAGGTCCATAGGGTCAAAGGTCTGACATGGAGTTTGCATGGAACTTCTTTGGGCAAAGTCCAGCTATATAACACAATATAATTTGTTGAAACTGTTTAGTACAAATTGCGCCAAGGATCGAAGACCACTTCAACTCATTCTTCATTTGCTCGATGGTGAACCAACCACGTTTGACCTTCTGTGTATCTTCCTTCTTGCGCTCAATGATCTTGACCACTTGGGACACAAACTTTTCCTTGCAGGGATAAGTGCCTGAAACAGTGGCTAAATTTAGCCTCTGTTTTGGGGCTCTATTTTGGAACATAGGGTGAACAAAAACTTTGTTCATGGTGCAACTTGAACCCCTCAAGATATCTATAGATGGTTGCATCAATAAGAGTCTATAAAACCATATGGCCATATGGGTCCTTGTTCAAGTCATACTGCTCGAACATGACACGAAGTTCATCTCTGTCTTTGCCCCCTTTGAGCCACAATTCATGAACTGCCATAGGGACGTTGAGCTTACCAGAGGGCTTCTTTTCGCAGAGCCTGCGCAACTGTGCATCGATCTTCTTGTAGCGCTTGACGGCGTCTGCAGCATCTAGCTCTGCCTTAGCCAGTTTTTGCGTTGGAGTAGCAGTTGTTGCAATTAATTTTAGCGTGTTGCTGACATCTATTTGTTCATGCTTCTATAGTAAGTTCAAGAACCCAACATATAAAGGGCACACGTACTATACAAGGTCGCCTGTGTAAAAAACAACGCACATTCCACGAGAGGTTGAAAGGGCTTAAAAACGAAAGGACTTGTGACACCTTTTGTTTTTAAGCCCTTTCAACCTCTCCTGGTTCAATCCCGTGGCCAGGAAACGTCGGCTTCAGGCTGCTCAGGCTTCGATTTGGGCTCTGAGGGGAGGGAGCCTTTGGAAGTAGGTGTTGGCACTGAAGTGCGAGTAGTCGGGGTCTTGGGCGTCCCGGAAACCGACTCACCCCTGCTCAACCTATCGATCGTTGAGAGCGCAGCCGCAAGTTGTTTCTGAAGATCCCGCACCACTGGGTCATCCTAAGGAACCGCGTGAACACACAAACAGATTCAACTTTAAATGATACAACGTTCATCCACCAGATTATATATATAAGGTTCACCTTTGCTGTATCATCGTTGATCATCGGTGTCTGAAATATCATTGAGGTTTTTACCTTGCATGACCTGGGTGTCTTGCGTACATATATATACTATAGTGGTTGGCCCAAACATTAGTGCAAAGCACCTCCACACAGCAGAAGGACATTATAAATAACAGATGGAAGCAGTGCGAGTTTCAGTCTCCGGTGTCTCTGCTGCAAAAGGTGGCTTCGCCTTGCTCTTCACCGATGTCATGCGAAGCTCAGCAGCAGCATCCTGAGCACAAGGGGTTCTGTATGAGACAACATGCCATTAGCAGTGAGGAAGCAAAAAATCCTTGCCATGTGGATGTTTGAAGT